ATATATATACTTTATTTTCTCACATGGGAAATATCGATATTTTCAGTTCTGCCTATTTATAAAGCTGCTCGGGGCTGTTTTCTCACTTTTTTTATGCCATATTGTGAAATAATATAGCAAAATCTATTATGTTGATAGATTGTGACTGTTTGTTCCTTCCATTCATTGCTGTCTTAAAGCAAAGCTGTGGGTGTAAAATGTTAAGCCCACTACAAGCAGTAGTAAATGGTTTATAGACTTAAGTAGAGTATACATGGTTATAATTTCGAACAAATGACATCGACTGAGGAACGCTCGACTTTCCAATAGTAAAATGGGTTAAATCGATGATCAATTTGGACCGCAGTGACAAAAAAAGTCGACAGAGTATTTGCCGATCGAATGAGATTCTAAGAGTGAAACAAAACAAAATGAACAACAACAGTGAAACAAAATGAAAATCAAATGAAATTTTGAACGAGATTCGTTAAGTCTCTGATGGCATTATCAAACTTTGTACGAACATTCTGCCAGTGTATACCTTACTTAGGCAGCCGACACATTCAATATGAATAGCAGTCTGCCCTTTAGAGCTCTGTCCAGAGTTCTGCATCACCCTGGATAGTCCACTCTTCTTGATAGTGGAGATTAGGCATGCTCTTATGTGCTGTCTCACAATGCAATGTCTGGAACCTTAAGTTACTTATCTTCAGGACCAGGCCTTTTCATGGGGGGTGCGGTGCATACCTATGGCTGCGAGCAATGCTGGAAAGACTAAATAGGTATCTACTGACAGTTAAAGCCATCACCTACCTGCTACAGCTTATAGTTTGCTTTTCATTTCTTTAAGTTGTATCTTGTTTTTATTTTGTAACCACCTTATTCTTCTATTCTTTCCAAGCTAAACTACATAATGTACTTCCACTTCACTTCAGCATTGCACCTTTTCATGTCATATTTTTTATAAATTAGGCAACCCTTAAGGCCTCGTGCACACAGATAGAAAAAAACACAGCTTTTAGATGCTTTTTTTCTCTGAACACAGCTCTATTTAGCATTGTCACTGTCATTGTCATTTTAGCATTGTCATTACCATGAACATTGTGGTGTTTAGATCTTTATTTTAGAGCAGTGTTCAGGGGCAAAAAAATAAAATGCCCCAAACCTGCATTCGGAGAGGATCTTACTAGCATAACTTATGTGCATATGTGTGGAAACACATATAATTACACACCAAAACACACTGGATTTTTTTGCCAGTTTCTCTCAGAAAGATCCAGCATAGATGGGAATATTTTAATATGCATCTGGCCCTTAGTGACAAAGCATAGGGGGATAAGATTGATGAATCAGTAACATAGCATATATTGCAGATATTACTTGACACCAGGGGTATCCCTAGACTTTTCGCAGCCTTAGGCCGGGGGGAGGAGGTTGGGGGGCTGTTGCTGGCGACGGACATTACCAGGGCGGGTTTGGGGGGAGTTGTGGGTGCAGGTGGTGGTGCATGTTACTTCTTGGCATCCTGTCCAGCTCACTGATGTCACTGGTTGCCAGGAGCTGGACAGGACGCCGGCCAGAGCTTCCCAGGTTGCTAAGAGCTCTTAGCAGCCTGGGATTCTCTGGTCAGAAAGGGGGACGCAGGCACATTGCTGCTCTGCCTGCTGCCCCCTACGTGACCCAAAGAGATGCTGCCTGAGGCAAAAGCCTCAGACTACTTCATTCAAGGGACGTCCATGCTTGACACTTGCTGGACACTTTCTGCATGGTGTTCAGTAATTACTGGGTGCATGACTAATCAAGCTTTGGAATTTTTTTCAAAAACTACATTTTATGATTACTTAGATAGCATTTGTTATTAGGACTGGTATGGTTGTGTGTTGTTGTGTTGCATAGTGCCATAGAACCTTGGTAGCCTTGCAAAAAGTTTGGACAATAATGTTCTACAATGTAGTGTTTAGCATCCTGAACATTATTTGAAAGACTGAATCCTGTGTATATTGTTAATGTAAATTAGACTTTTTCAGAAAAATAACCATAACATGTGTGGAATATCTCTCAGCTGGGATCACAACCAACACAGCTTACAACACTTCCCACTCATAAAATCCACAAAATCTTACATACTGCAAGTCTAAAAACACGGATTTCAATGTCCGGTAAATGTGATTGTGCTGAGTTCAACCTCTTTGTAGCCTGCTGCATTCTGGAAAAATATTGTATAATATGTAGATGATTCTATAAACTAACTAACAACTGTGACATGAGTAATTTACAAATAGGCATTTCAAAATTCTAATTAAGCTGATACAGGTTTGAAACATTTGACAAATGCCATATTGTACATGTCCAGAAATTTCTATGAGGTGTATTGATAAACAATTTGCCCTGCCAAGTTGCAGGTACATTCGTGTCTGTGTGAATGGAAGCAAACACAAATGTTATTATGGTAGCATATTTTTTTTCAGGTTGAATGTAATATCAGGTAA